GGTGACCGAGGAAGCCTCTCGAGAAGGCAGCCCAGCCTTCTCACCTGCTCCAGGCAGCAGTGATGGGACAAACAGCACCTAAAACCAAGGAAAACCCTTTACTGTACAGACCTCCCAGCTGCCCAGGAGCTCTCTCAAGGCCTGTTTCTTCCACACTCCCTATAGCAATGAGAGAAGCCAGTGCCTCCTTTCCCATGCACGTAGGGCTGACTCATACACACACCAAGGGCCATTGTGTATGGTTGTTCAGGTTGTGTACTGCACGAAGATGCCCCATCTAAGGCAGTGCCAATCACACTGTATGCATCTTATTATTTTAAAAAATTGTTTTTGTATTTGTATTGTGACTATTGATGGCAAAGGCAGATGATTTGCATATTTATTGCAACTATTTCCCAACAGATGGAGAGAAAGAGTCTTGAGTAAGGAGCACCTTTTTAAAACTTACACAAAAGCTCCATATGGGCAGTGGCCCCACCCCTTCCAACCTCTTACATAGAACAGTGAATCCCACATCCACAGGGCACTCTCATTAAAAGAAAGCGGAGTAACTATCCTGAGCATAAAGGATTGCATCTAGAAAGTGTCCAGTGTAGAGCAGAACCTCAGTAAATGTATGAGAATGAATCAGTGTCTTGCTTTTCAGACCTGCCCGTCTGGCCTGACACAGCCTCACAACCTCTGGTGTCCCCTGGGCCAGATGGGCATCCTTAGGAAAGATGTGATGGCTCCAGCCACTAGGAAGCTACAGTTGCTCCCTAAATCCTCCCTTTTCAACTCTTCCCTGTCCTTTCACGACTCTCACTCCATGCCGGAGACCACAGCCGAGTAGGGATCAGTCATAGACTTTTGTGGCTCTCTGACAGCACTTGTTCTGGCCAAGTGTCAGCTTTACCTGCCTTCCCACTTTGCCAGCAATCGGAGGAGCCATCCAGCTCTCAGGCTCACATTAGCATAAGGCAGGGGGATCACTCACATAATAGCTAAAATCTAAAGTCAGTGAGTGAATTGGAAATAACGTACAGTCAAAATACTCTTAAAAATCACTTAAATTGCCCATAATGTACAGTACACATGGTTTTAAAAACATATCCTTATAGAAAATACTATCACTTTGACTAAATCTTCCTTAATCAAGGGTTTTTTTCCTATAGCTTTCAGTTTTTCAATTTCTTCCTTCAGATCTCAAGTAAGCCATATCATAACTTATCTGACCGGTCAAATTTCATATTTTGTAAAATATGGTTGGTTGTCAGAAAACACCTTCAAAATCATCTCCACTTTCTTTCTATGGGGTTCAACAGAATGCAGAGACTGCTGCTGGCTAGATTCCTATCTTTTGCCATATCTCATTCAAGTGCTATGGACTCAGCAATCTTGACACTGGAAATCACTGTCCTGGAGAGCGGAGGGCGTATGGTTGAACCTCAGAATGCAAACAGGCTCGTGAGTCATAGTGTGACATAACCTTTGCTAGAGTAAAAACTGCTTTAGGGTCATCTGGTGGGAGGTAAGAGGAAGGTCACCTGTGCAGCGGAGCCTGAATTTCCTTCCTGGAAAGGCCAAGGGAGGCTAGATAAAGGGGCCAGGATGACTGGGAGGCAGCGGCAGAAGAGAGAAAGTGGGTGGGTGAGAAATGCACCCCCCAACCCCCGGCATAATCTGACCCGCAACTGACATGCTCCACGTTGCTGACATCACCGCGTCCTTTCTATTAGCTACAATATGCTTCGTCTTTTTCTTTTTTAAAAATCATCTAAAGTTGTTGGTTTTGCTTTGGCAACTATACCATCCAATGAGGATAAACACTTTTTGCATGCAGACCTCTCCACTGGCCCGGGACCGATGCGACCCCCATGTGCAGTCACCCTAAAAACCTCATCAACTCAGATGGAGTCCTCCGTAGCTTATTCTGTTTCCATTACTGCATTTATTATTATATTGGTTAGTATTTTTGTTTAATAGTCCATCTCTTTCACTATTTGAGCTCCTATTAGGCATAAGCAATTTGTTTTGTTCTGCTTTGTTCAGTTTAATCATTTTTGTATTTTCTACCATGTAGCCTAGTGCCTGGCAGAGAGCAAAAGCGCCAGCAGTGTGGTTTAAATGCACATATAAAACGAATGAATAAATTAATGAATGCATGAGGTCAGTGAAAATTCTTCCAAGAGTGGTAGATACAAAATTTAGCAGTTATACCTCAAAGTTATTGAGAAACTAATTTCAAAGTGGTTTGTTCTGCAGGACAAACCAAGTGGAAACTCCAATTCTATGTGTTGATCTTTGCAGATTGGCCCTCTTAGGGCAGCTGGGTGGTACTTGTGGAAATGCTGAAAGGGCTCTAAACCCCCAAGTCAAAAGATATGGATCTGTGTGGCTCTGCCCGTTCCTAGATGAATGACCTCAGGACAAGTCAGCTGTTCATCAGGAAAATGGGCCTGTCATGCCAAAGAGCCTCCCTGAGTGAGATAACGCACGCACCCTGAACACTTGGTGAAGCCTTAAGTGCCTGCTGACTTAGAAGAGGGTCACTATTTCTCACTGGTGCACACAGCATCAGCACCACGACCCACCGCCTCCACCCATCCGTACCTGTCTAGGGCGTCCCTCGGCTGGCCTCTTCCTTCCTGTCCACAGTAACAGCCATAAGATTCAAACTCCTCTGGGCACCGGGACGTCAGACAAAAGAGCATCTCTCCGAACTGCGGCATCACCTGCTTGTTGTCCCCACTTCCCAGGCGCAGGAAGGTGAATCTGTCACAGGCTGATCAGGAAGAGAGGCTGTCAGGAGAGCAAGCAGTGTCGGGACAGCCTTCACAATGGGAAGGCCATGCGAGCTTCCAGGCTGTATGAGGACAACTCGGGGTCATGCAAGGAAACCCATGTCCTACATCTGGGATGGCCATTCTTCTGGAAAAGCCGTGTTCTGGCTCATTCCCTGTCTGGGATGCATTGTCTTTCTGAGAGCAGGTCTTTTCTGGCCAGGCTTCTAATGCTCTACCAGACTCCTTATTAAATCTCCCTAAGGGATGGGGACTTGTCAGGATCAAAGATGCTCTTTGGGCCACATTTTACCACTGAGTAGAGCCTGGCACCCTGGGGTAGTCCTGGTCATCTTCTTAGGCTTTCTGCTGCATCAGATTAGCATGCCTGGCGGGGCTTGCCTTTCAGAGCCCGTGGGTTTCACTCTCTCTCTCTTTTTCTCTCTCTCTCTCGTCCTCCACCCCGCCCCACTTCCTCTTTCCAAATGTAGCTTTCTTCCTAGCACTGTGTTGGGCACCATGGAGGGCGTGCCCAGATACTAGCAAAGTCCTCCTCTGTGTACAGCTGGCCGTGGCTCCTTGCAGGGGCAGGCCCTTTGGTTAGGTGGCATCAGGGGGGAGAGAAAAAGGAGGAGGATTATTAAAACCCAAGTGCTTCAGTCCTGCCAAACTCTCTTCTTCTGGGCCAGTGAAAGAGCACGTGGTCAAGGGCTTGGGAGACCTGGTTTCTCTCCCAGACTCAGCCTCACAGCAGCTCAGTGGCTTCAGGCAGATCACATCCCCTCTGAGCCTCCATGTGCTCACCCAGTAAGAGGGATGAGACCTTCTAGTCACACCAACATGAGAAGTTCACAAGAAACGGTGGCCTAAGGTGCTTTGTTGACAAGCTACCCGAAGGACCCCAGGGGCAGAGAGGACAGACGCCTCTCTGGCCACCTGCTCTGCGTACCTTTGCCTGTCGTCTCCTCAGGCCCACTCTCAACAGATGACACCGCCAGCCCCACAGATTTAACACCAGCAGGGACAAGGGTTACACTTTCAGCTGCGGCGACAATCTCAGCAGATCCTGAAAATACAAAACTTCATCATTCAGGTTTTTAAAAAGAGGCTCAAGGAGAGATTTGCGAGTGGACACATGGTGAAGGCCAAATGCACACAGATACCTCAGAACACCAAAGCACAAGGAGAGTGTTCCTCCAACTGGGCTTGCAGACATCAAGGCAGATTCTCAGGGTTCCATGAATTCTACATGAGAATTTCCAAATTTTCTGTGATAACCTTAGCACTGATAGAAGCCTGAGCTAGATCAGCCAGGCAGCCTCTCATGCACGAGAACTGTCCTGGCCTGCCAGGCCTGTGTTTACTATCATTCGGCTGCCCAGGGAAGGTCTGTCAGGCACTCACAGCGAGAGGAGAGGTAAAGAGAATGGTGGAGAAATCATGCCAACTCGTGGTACATGACAACGTAAGCAAGTGAAACTCTTCCTTGAAGCCCTCTGTTTCCTTGCTCAAATGCTGCAACAGTTTCTCATATTCAGAATTAAGTGCAAGGTTCTTCCTGTGGCCTGCAAGGCTTGCCCAGGACCTGACCTGCCTCCCTCTCATCTCTTACTGTCTCTCTGGATCTCCCTTTGCTCTGGTGTGTCAGTGCCACCTGCCCTCACAGCTGGAGGCAGCAAAACCTCCAACTCACAGGCCAAATCTCCAGCCCAGTCTGATCCAGGGAATGGGAATCCCAGCAGACTCAGCCCCACCAACCTGCTGACCCAGGCTCAGTCCCCAGCAGTCCCCAGAGTGCTCGGTAAGGCCTAGCATCTTGGTACCCGCTGAATTGCAGCCTTTCCCCAACCCGCCATATTGGTTTGGTTCATGCATCTGGTCTAGTTCAGCACTCCAGTTCCTATGGGACTAAAGCCCTGCTGTAATCTCAGTCTCCTAGATTTAACATCCTGCTCAGTTCTCCAATGCCACAAATAAAAACCAGTTAACCAGCTTCTTTCTAGCATGTTCCTGACTGCTAGAAACTCACCAAGTCAGAGTTAGAGTTAGAGTTGAAGAGATTTGAGTTTGAATTTTAGCTCAGCCACATGCTCGATGTATAACCTTGGGCAAATCACTTAGCCTCTCTAAATCTTAATTTCTCCTTTGTAAAATTATATTAATAATACTTCTTTTGGTGTTTGAATAATCCTTCCAGCTAAATGCCTAGCAATTAGGAAATGGGAAAAGATCCGTAAATCTGATCTAGGCTTAGGACTCTGCAGGTGGGGAGCTCTCTGCAAGCAGAAAGAGCTCCCAGAGCCCAGTGTGTCCTCCCTGCTGAGTCTGAGTAGCCAGTAGTCCTCATCTCCTGTGGAAGAACTTTCTGGATTTTTGGCGTCAATCAATTTGAAATCCCCCTCACTTCCTCTAGATGAGGACATTTGGCATTAATCATCTTTTCTGGGCCAGCTGTGGCCCCATTTGGGGAATAAATTCCTCTGATTCTTGGCCCTGTTGTCTCCTATGCTGAGAGGGTCACAGTGCCTCTCAGAGCAAAGTCGGCTCAAATCGCAACAGCCTTAGTTCTGACATTGGTTACACCTCTGTGGATTCAGTTAAGATTTGGGATTCTGTTTAGATTTGACCAACAAGTCCCAGAATGAGGAGTTGGCTTGGTTTGGGTACTAAAACGCCACTTTCAATTTTCATCATAGGGGAGAAAAAAAGATACATTTTTATCCCATTGTAATAAAACTGATAGAGGTTTTTGTTTGTTTGCTTGTTTTTAGATAACAGTGCCCAGAATTGGCAACCAGAATATACGTATGAATGTAAATTGGTTCAATTTTTCTCAAGGCCAATTTGGCAACATGCTAAAAATTCTAAAATGATTATGCCTTTTATCCAGTAATTCAACTTTTAGGCTTTTATCCCAACAAATTAATCAGAAGTCGATGGGCATGAAGAAAGTACATATCTATTATTTATAATAACAAAATGTTAGAAATAATTGGTTAAATAAATTATGTTTTGATATAAGGAATTATTATATAGCCACTAAAAATCATCTTCCAGAAAAATATTTAATGTTAGGGGAATAGCATCACTTTGTATTAATGATACAACTCAGGCTACAAAGCCATGGCTAGGAAGTGTTCTCAAATTCATTTTATTTATATTCATGGATGTGCCTAGTGAGGAATGAAACTAGAAGAAATGGCTGCAAATATTAACAGTGTCTCTCTTTATATTGTGGAATTACAAGTAATTTAAAGGGAAAACTAAATGTAGTTTTCTGCATTTTTCTAAACTCATCTCTTTACTAGATAAGTTTCCATTTCTTCCTGTGAATGGCTCTACCTTTTAACTTCATTTGTGTACTTTTTTGTTGAGGGGGATGTAAAAGTAAATTGGTGTCAATGATTTCTTCCATTTTGGGTTTGGCCCCAAGGCTCGTGTGAAATCCACAGGATTTCATAAACATATTGGGGACAGTGATACATGTATGCATAGATGGGCAGGAGGAGCCGAGTGTGCTCACCTGGAGGCGATGTGGTCCTAGCAGCTTCCATGCCTTCCTGATCTTGGCCTAGTTCTGCCCCCAAAGGAAGAGAGACAGGGTGAGTGTGAACCCCAGCTGGTCCACCTTGGTTTCCAGAGACGTCTCCCATCCCCCTGGGCGCAGGAGCCACACGCTCTTCACTCTGCCCTGGCCTGCCTCCCACCGTGAGATGTCCTAGGAGACCTGGTGATATTAGGGTCACTGCTGAGCCAAAGCGGACCCCCCCAGATACAGGCTTGCTCGCAAATGCAGCTGCAGCTTGTCAAGCTGGAAGCAGGTGAGTTTGTCGAAATACTTTTGGAATGCCGGCCTCTCTAAAATTTGGAGGAAAAAAAAACTAAAAGAAAATCACATTTTCGGCAGAACAGTATGCAGTAAAGAGGTAGCAGAGTTGTGTGGTTGAAGTTGTTTGCTATGTGACTCCAGGAAAACTGCTGAGCCTCGGTTTCTCTGTGAAACGAATTTGTTGTTTAATGGTTATTAAGCTCCTCCACATGCCAGATATGGCAACAAGGGCTTCCTTGTATTAACTCATTCAAGCCCATGAGTTAGCACTCTGCTCGCCCTCATTCAGAGATGAGAAAGGAGACACACAGAAAAGTTAGGTCACTGGTTCAAGGTCACAGACCTAGGAAGTAGCAGGGTGCAGACCCCAGCAGCCTGGCTGAAGGTGACACTCTTAGTCACTAGGCTGGGCTACTATCTCACTCCTGGCTGTACCAGGGGTGGTAACTAAAAAACTTCTAGGAGAGAAAGGAACTGCCTTAAATTTAATGTGCTCAAAGATCAAGACTATGGTGAGGTTATATGGAATCCAGACTTTGAATTTTACTGATATGGACACAAAGCCTCTATCAAAGAGAGAATCTGGACCTTTCCAACTGGGGCAGATTGTTCTCTTCAAAAGCAAAACCTATAGACTCAGAAGTAAAGGACTGCTAAGCTGCCTGCCCTGGGCAGATGATTTTACCTCTTGGAATTTCTTTTTTATTTATAAAATGGGGATAATAACAGATCTCCTAGGACCAGGGAGGACTAACTCAGAGAATATATGTAAGAGGCTTAGGGATACGCTGGCACATCTGAGGCTCTCAAAAATGTCACCACCCCTTAACCAAAGAATCCATTTACTTGCTTATTCATTCTTAGTAATTATCAGTTATTTATACTTATTAATAAAAGATCCATGGTTATTAATCACCATGAGCAGAATGAATGATTAGGCTAATTCCACTGATAAAATTTTGGCCGAGATATTTTTAGGTAAGTTGGAGTTATCCGTGAGTCACTATTGTATTAATATAATGGAAAAGAGATAGTCTGCAGTCTGGGCCTAGAGACCAGTCCAACAAATTACTTCCTGATGACTTAGAACTTTTATTCTTCATAAGGCTGTTTCCTGCATGTTCTATAAAATACATACAATAATGTTTCCTCCAGGCCCTGTCGAGAAGTGGTCACCAGCACTGAACACAAATATTTACATGACATTTCTCCCTTAGAAATGTCCTCTTTCAAAGTCCCCTCTGCTTACTTGTCCTGGAGGGAGTGGTCAGTCTGTCAGCTTCGGTCTCAGTGGCCACTGTGAAACAAAATGACCCAACTTCAATTATCCACCAGCTGGGTGCCTAAGCCATCCAGAGGAAGCAGGTTTGGGTCAAGGACTGAGGAGAGGATGCCCAGGGCCACCTGATCAGGGAATGTGGCTACATGGTGGTGCTCAACTAGTTACCAGTTCAGCAGACAAGAGGCCAGACTCCAGCCAGGTCTGTGTTTAGGTATAAAGATCAGCAAACACCATCTTTGGGAACACAGGGCCATTGTTGCCCCTGGTGGAACAGGTCCTTGTGGGAAGGCAGCGTAAGAGCGAGTTTGGTCTAGAAGTGAGAATGGAAGCATCAGAGACCTCCAGTCCCAGTCTTGCTGCTCAGCTCTGTGTCTGGGACAACTTACCACTGAGTCTCAAGCTATTGTTCCATAAGGTTGTATGAGCATTAGATGAGACTATGTATTTTAGGCAAGTTGTCCATTATCCAGCCTATGATTTGATGGTGTGTGCTGCTTTTATAGCCACATCAGAATTCCTGGAAGAAGATGCTGGTCCAGAATCTCCCCAAGCTTGCCTTCATTTAACCCTTATGCCATCCCAAAGGATAGGTGTAATGACCTTTTTTCTCGGGTTAGTAAACTATGGCCTGGCCCTTGGCCTGTTTTTGTAAATAAAGTTTTATTGGAATACAGCCATGTCCACTCATTTACATATTGTCTGTGGCTGTTTTTGTGCTACAATAGCAGAGTTGAGAAATTGTGATAGAGGTTCTATGGCCCTCAAAGCATAAAGTGTTTACTCTCTGGCCCTTTACAGAATAAGTTTGCCAACCCCTGTTTTGTACAATTGAAAAAACTAAAGCTTATAGGTTAAATCACTCTTCCAATGCCATATAACTGAAAAATGGGAGAGGTAGGACTTGATCCCAAATCCACCTGACTCCAAAACCTAATGGTTTCATTACATGATGCTGAGAATGGTTATACGCTCAGTATCTTTTTCTCACAAACTCTCCCACCTGCGCTTGTGTGTTTGATTTTTTTGATCCTGCATTCAGGTGGCCTTCCTTCCTGAAGAGCACTCGTCTGCACTGCCCAAGTCACGGATGTGCATTGGTGTGTTGTGGGGGTGCATGAGCATCCCCTCTTTCTCCAGTTAGACTTTACACTCCTCGAGGAACCTCTGCATCATTCTCAGGGATAAACATTATCATTTCTTGATGCCACAAAGTAATGACAGCTGAGGTTTAAGCACTCAAACTTTGGAGCATGTACCAATTTGGGGTCATTTTGTGATTGTCTGATGGGGCCGTGAAGCCCACCGTATATTCTCAAGTTTGGGGCTGACAATTTGCCTAAAATAGAATGCAAGTTGCTGCTGTCAATCACGCTGGGAATAGTCACTCCTTGGGCAGGAAATATGTGGAGCTTTGATGGGGTGAGGGTGACATTTCCTCTTCTCTCTGGATCTGGACCCCGAGACACAGGCTGTCTGGGATCTGTTGGGATGAGATACCCTTGGCCACACAGAGCACGGCCAGGAGTCAGCGGCACTGTAGGCCTCTGCTCCTAGCGATAGCAGCAGCAGAGAAAGGAAACACCAAACTTCTAGGGAGGTGGTTTGCGGAGTGATCTGAGTGTGTTGTATGGGATCTTTGGGACATACATGTACTAAAAAAAGTATTTGTTGTTCATTTGAAATTCAACTTTAATGGACGGGCATCGTGCATTTATCTGGCAATTCCACAGGGGTGGGAGTAGGAGTGTCAGAGAAAGCTGAGGAAGTAGAGAAGACACTCGGGGGCCAGGAAGAACCAGGGCTGGCTCTGGAATATACTTGAGCCAGGCAAGGGACACTTTAGGGGAGCTCAGGCCAGCTTGTCGGCAGATGGCACAATGAAGACGTGGGTGTCTGAGTTACACACCAGCCCTCTTCGGCTCACCTTCTCCTGAGAGGGCTGTCAGGCTGGCGTCTGTGGGCTCCGCAGGATCCGCTGAAAAAAGAGAGCCGTCCGTAGCAATGGCAGATGTAACACGGTGTCAAAACCAGGCACGGGGGCTCACAGAAAAACAGGCTGGAGACTGCTGGACCAAGGGAGGAAGGGGCCGAGGAAAGGTGGCCAGGAAGAGCCGTCCATCCTGCCTTTGGCTTTCCTCTCCACCCTTACACCTCCCAGAACATGGGGTTCCCTGCAAGTTCCCAGCTCGGGGTGGAGCACAGCCACTGCGGGGTGCTGGTGGAGAAACAGGGCTGAAGGCAATGAAAGAGCCGCGCACCCCAAAGGTGTCCCAACTTAAGCAGAACTCTGTTCAAAAGGGAGGCAGGGTGGCAAAGGAAAAAAAGAGCACTGGACTGAGAAGATACACAGGGGAACAACATGCATGTACACACACACCCATGCACACTCATGCACACACACACATGTACATACACACCAGCTTCCTCTTTAACAATCACTCCTGGGAGAGAGACCCCAGCCCCAGGAGAGAGGGGATGCTCTGCTAAGGCACATCTTGGATTTCTCGCTCTCATGTGCCCTAAGGTATTGGGACTGAGAGATCATGGAAACTTTGGTGAGCAAGGAATAGCAGGCATACACCTCCCATTTTTTTGTAAGATCTGCATTTTAGAATAAGAAGCATCACTTGCTTAGTGGAGTGGACAGTTATTAAGAGCCTACCCTGACCTGAAAGGACCCATGACAAACAGCCTCCCCTTCAAAGAGCCTCCACTTGGACTCAGGCTGCCCCTTTAGGTGCAGGCTCTGGAGAGTGTGTGGAGGAAGGGGCGGGGGAGAGAAGGAGGTAGCTAGGAGCTCGCCTAGCGGGGAGGGGTCTTGCTCCCTCTGAGCACTAGGTCCTGTCCCTGTCACACTGTATACCAGGGCCCTGACTATGGAGTGAAAAAAAGAAAGAAAGAACTCGGAGTCTGTATCCTCACTGGATTAAATTTACACCTGTCCATGTAGCAAGGGACCAAGTTTGCACTAAGGCCATTTGATGTTGGGTGTTTGAATTGGGTATATCAGAAGTAGTTGAATCTCCCAGCCAGGAGAGGCAGGGACGTGACTCTCCAGCTTCTGTGAGGCAGGCCAGGCGGATGAGGTGCATCTAACAATTCCTGTTGCCGTCTGAACCCTGTGGTCCAAGTAGGAGCTGGCTTCCCTAGGGGGCCTTACCTCTGGGCAGAGGTGTCGTCAGGTCTCTCCCAATGGTTGTCTCTGAAAAGAAAACATATTGGAAAGTCTGTTTAGAGCAGAGGGATGGGGCCATGTTTGAAGGTGCTGGATTTTGCATCTGAAGCAATGACCGATTCCAAACCAGCTCCTGCCCAGATCACCCTGTCAACCCCACCGCTGATGCGGGCCTGGATCTTCCCACCTGGAGCCTGAGCCAGGCAGAAGGAGCTGTCCAGAAGGTTCAGTGAAGAGTTGAGGCTGGACCGAGCCAAGCATTCGATGGCAGCCTTGTCACAGGTACACAGCAGGTGCTCACAAGGGTCCTTAGACTCTGCACAGAGAAAGAGCAGAGAAGGCTGGAAAGATCTCACTTGGAATCCCAAGAGGTAATGCAAGTCCTAAGACGGGACTCCAGCCTGCCTGGTCAAAATCCTGCTCCTCTTACAACCTCTTGGTCTCAGGTCAGCTCCGTCTCTTCAGTTGCGTGGACACAAACTGGGGCCGTGCCCATTCCTCTTCCCTCACGCTCACGCCCAGTCCCTCAAGCGACCTTGTCGGCTCCGCTTGCAGCACAGAGCCTGCCCATGTGTCGGCGTCTCCACCCTCCCGCCCTGGGCCGAGTCCCCGTGTCTCCTGCCCGGTTACAGCCACGGCCTCCTAACCAGTCTCCCCGCTGCCCGATCTATCGAGGAGTCAGGACAACCCTTCTGAAACTCAGATCAAACCACGTCTGCATTCTGTTCAGAACCCTCCGCCGACTCCCCGCCTCAAAGCACAAGTCTCACTGCAGCCCAGGAACGTCACGTGGCAGGTCCCCTTCCCTCCAGGTCCCACCCTCCTCCACACCCCCTCACCGCCTACTCCTGTCTCACTGCCCCCTTGTTCCTCAAACGCACTGGGCGCCGTGGGGCCGTCGCACGCTGCTGCTTCTGTCTGCACCCCTCCTGGGCCAGTACCCATGGGGATCGCTTCCCGCCTCTTCTTTAACTCTTTGTTCAACTGTCATTATCTCCGGGAGGCTTTTCTTGACCTTCCTGTTTAAGTTGGAGCCCCTGCCCCAACCCTCCCTGCACCTTTCCCCCCATTTATTTCCTCCAGAGCTCTTGGCCCTGTCTAACAGACTACATGCTTTGTTTTGGGTATTCTCAGTGTCTGATGCGGTGAGGACATTCCAGAAGGTCCGGCTATCCCCAGCACCGCGACGACTGTTGTGGCTTGGCGTGAGTGCTGAGTGAATGAACGAATCCTGTCTTCCGTGTTCACTGTGCGCCTCTCCGAGTGGTGGTCACCCACGTCCTCCCCCCCATCCCTCCCTGACGCTCCACCCTCCAGCTGTTACCTGGACTCGAGGGTCAGCTGGACCTGGGTTCAAACCCTGACTCTGCCCTTTCACAACTCTGTGACTTTGGGTGAGCTATTTAATTTCTCTGCACTTTGCTTTTCTTGTCTGAAAACCGCCACAAGAAATGGCCCCCGTGTTTAGGGCTATTAGGAGGCTCAGAGTCGCTGTGTGTAAAGCCTCTGGCACCTGCAGGCACACATAGAGGACAGCTCTAACACAGGGCCCCTACGTGCCAGGTTCCCTCTCCCCACTGGCCTTTATTCTACTCCTGCTGGGACTGCCCAGAGACATGAAGTAAAATTCCTGGAGTCATACAGGGAATCAGATGGGCAGCTGAGATTTGAACCTACATGTTTCTAATTCCTCCAGACAACAAGCACCACAAGCCTTATCCACCCACTGCGACTTCCAGCTCCACATCCAGCTCTGGTCCCTGCGCTGACCACTTGACAGCACTGTTGCATTCAACTTTCACAGCAAATCTTGGAAGTAGGTTTCTCCTCCCCATCTTGAAGTTCAGAGAAGTTAAGTAATTGCCCCCATGTTACACAATGCATAAGTAGCAAACTCGCCTTCCTAAGCTCCCAGGGTTGCTACAAGTATAAAAGTATAAGCCAAATAATCTGCTGATCAACTATCATTTCAATTTAAAAACATGTATTGTGCATAGACTCCATGCAAGGTACAGACGCCCTCGATCCAACCCTCGTGGGGCTCTAAGTGTGGACAGTGATGCTGCCAATCGTGATGATGATGCAGATGGACCCCGGGAGCTCTCGGCCTGGTCCAGGCCTGGGGTCCCTGCCTTGTCACATCTTGGCCCAGCCCAAGGGGAAGCCTGGAGATGCTCACCGCACGTGACCTTCTTGCTGACGCAGTCGATGTCTGTGCTAAGCTTGGCTGGGTCCTGCAGACAGTCCATGTCAGCAGCCTCCTCGTAGCACCTGCGGTGCTGGAAGCAGCAGCTGCGGCAGGGGCAGGGTGAGAGGATGGGGAGGGTGAAGGGAGGGCAGGCAGCCTGGGATCATTCTGTGGTGTTCTATCTCAAATGCTCTGTGCACACACACATGCACACACACACGTGCACACACGCTTTGCCATCTGCTGTCTTGCAAGCTTCAGATGGCAAGTCTACATGGTCTCTGCCCAGCCCCTTGGATCTCAGCCTTAGGATTCAGTGTGAAGGGAGGCTCAGCATGTCTTGCTTCTGCATCCGGACGCTAAGTCTTTGGATACTGCTTAGTGCCCGCTCCCCATCACTGTCCATTTCCCTTTGTGGGGCCCACCGCTGTCCTAACCAGCAGCAGTCAGTCGTCCTCTCTTCTCCCCCTGCCCGGCCTCATGTGACAGCTGACTTCACTACCTACCTCGTGTGCCAGTGGTGGGATGAGCAACACTATCACTTGCTTGGACTGGCCAGTGAAGACAAGGCCAAGGACATGTTAGGGGTCAGCACCTCTAAGCAAAGAAATTGACCCTTGAGCCTTGAGGGTCAAGGTTATAGAACCCAGCAGTGATGCATCCAGTGGAAAGAAGATGTGGACCATCCATCATGTGGTAGGATCTTTATAGCCATTTTCTTGAATCCAAAAAATTCGTATGAGTGAGGTAGTGTGAAAAATTTAGTAGCTTGCCCAAGGTTGTCAGCCGCCTGTGTATTTTTCTTCTTTACATTGATCCCTGCTGACCTCCTGTCTGCACTGCAAGAGTGACCTGACCTCCCACATTCAGCGTCATCTTGTTCTGTGACCAGCCTTGACCCTGGGCGAGTCCACCATGCTGCACATGCCCCCCTGCGTGTGGTGCACCAGGCAGCTTAATGGGACAGATGGCTTCTGTGTTACAGAACAGTCTATCTCTTCTTGAATCCAGGACAGGTGTTTGAGATTGCCATTTATGGAGAGAAGAGAAAGATAAACCCACGTATTCTGGAGGAGAAGAGATTAATCAAATATTAAGACATGAGTTGGACCCAATCCCTTAATAGTCTGGCTGGAATTTTGTACGGAACAGCTTTTTTCATCCCAGACAACATTATTAAAAAGAACACAAAGGGCAGCACATTGGTGTGAATGTGCAGCTTCTCACACCGCTGTGGAGACAAGGACTTCAGGCCCAGAGAGGGGAAGTGACTTCTGCAAGGTCACACAGCAAGTTAGTAGCTGTCAAGAGACTGATTTGATGGAATACCTGATAAATGCCAGGCCCAGAGCAAGGCATAGACATAGCACACAGTTGGGCAATACAGGATGTTCAGCTGCTTATACAACAAACGAAGTCAGAGTTAGACAAAGGTGAGAACCGGGGAAGTCTACATTCTTTGCCGAACATTGTTTGTAAATGGCGAGCTCTGCTGGCTTGAGAAGAGTGCCGGGGGCTCCAGGTTCCAGCTGGATTCACGGGGAATTCAAATCATCCCCTGACCAGCGAAGGGAGGAGGGCAGAAGATTAAATATGAACCTGGGCTGGGGAGGAGTGTGAGTTGCGTTCAGATGACACCCCAAGCTGGGAGCCTCTCCCTCCGATTCCATAAAGGGAAGGGTTGGGAATCTCCTCCAGCCTTGCAAGCTTCAGACGGCAGGTCTACTGTGTCCCCGCCCCACTCCCTGGATCTCACCTCAGGATTCAGTGTGCAGGAGGCTCAGCAGAAGGTGAGGACTAGGCATGTCCTGCCCCGGATCAGAATCCTGGCTCCACTGACTGCCAGGGATATGTCTTGGGCAAGTTCCTTAACTCTTTCCAAAATTACTTTATGAGGTATTCACCCCCATTTACCACCGAGGGAACTGAGTCTCGGAGACGTTCACTAATAATAGTCCAGACTTTTGAGCTTAACTCCAGGGAACGTTCTAAGCACTTCACATTTAATGCTCATAACGAGCCTATGAGTGAGGTCGTGTTATCCTTATTTTGGAGATAAGAAAACTAAAGCCCAGAGAGGTCAAGCCACTTGCCCAAGGCCTGCACAGCTAGTCAGGGGCAGAGCCGGGGTATGAGGTCCAGCAATCGGGCTCCAGAGCCATGATTTAAACACTGCCTGTCCTAAGGCAGCAGGTAAATCGGGCTAGAAGCTAGGGGTACCTGTCTGCGTAGTCTGTGCTCCTTTTGTTGCCTCAAGTTGTCTCCAAGTGACCCTCAAAGTGACTTCATTTTGCTTTTTTGTGAAGGGTCTGGGACAGTACATTCTTGCCTGGAGGCTGGTGCAGGAGTCATGCAGGGAGGCTGGGACAGGGCAAGCTGCTGGGGCAGGCATTTGTGGGCAGAGCTCTGCCCTTGGGGGGACAGGCCAGGCCCTGGAGGAAGGGGAGACTGAGTCCCCTGTGGATGGAGAGACGGGTATAGGGCTCAGGAAGAGGCCCAATACTGGGTCCAGGGGAGAAGTTAAGGTGGGACCTTGGTCTGGGGGACAAGGCAGGAGCACAGAAACTGTAACAGGAACTGCAAGGCAGAGCAGGACCTGAAATGGGCTGGAGAAGGAGCTCCAGAAATCAGACAATTTATTTCTCCTTCCTCCAAAGGAATAAAGATAAATATTACGATTGCTTTTGTTACAGCAGCCAGCACTTGTTGAGTGCCTACCAGGTACCAGCCTCTGTTCTAAGTGCTTTCCAGGTATTAGCTCACTGAGTTCTCCCATGGATCGGAGCAGCAAGTGTGGTTATTGTTATGTGCGTTTACATATGTGGACACTGAGGCACACAGGCTCTGTAACTCGCCCAGGGTCAAGGCTGGTCACAGAACAAGATGACACTGAATGTGGGAGGTCAGGTCGTTCTTGTAGTGCAGACAGGAGGTCAGCAGGGATCAATGTAAAGAAGAAAAATACACAGGCGGCTGACAACCTTGGGCAAGCTACTAAATTTTTCACACTACCTCACTCATACGAATTTTTTGGATTCAAGAAAATGGCTATAAAGGTCCTACCACATCATAGACACTCCATACATGGGAGCCATTATTTTTGGAATCTAGTATGCAAGTTCAAGGTAGAATTAACCTGTTCTCCAGGAATTTGGAAATCACCTCCCCTATCAACTGAACTGTTTACAATAATTGAAATTGGGTGTGACCCATCACTCTGCCAATTTGGGGACATCGGTGCTCTGATTATTCCTTTTGGGCTGAAGACAGTAATAAATTGCTGCTTCATTTTTTTGGCTTCTAGGTTTACAAGGTATTTTAATAATTGAAAGAAGTAATAAGGGAGGACCTGAAAGGAACGTGTGTTTCCAGAAATGGCCCTGGCCCCGGGAGCCGTGCAGAACCAGCCTCTCCCTTTCTGAATGCCAGCGAGCTTGCTCCAGGAGTCACGTTGCTCATGGTCCCCAGGGTGGGAAACTGTCCTTTGGTCCAGAGGCATCTATATCCTCTCTTGCAGGTTTGGGGGTGGGACAGATTTGTTGTTTAATTTTGAAGTCATTATTCCTTGTCACCCAAAGATACATCACTTTTTAATTTGTTTAGTTTTGATTTCTGAAAAGCAATTAGAGGTTGACTACCTAGTCGGTTAAGCTCCACTCTGTGCCAGGTACTATAGTCAGTACTGAGAGTGACATGGTACAGACTCCCCTTAGAGGAGGATGTTGAGTGGATCAAGAAGACAGACCCTGCGGACACACATTAGCTTGTGTGGTAGGTGCAAGAAAGAGACATAAGGGTGTTTGGGGAGCACAGAAATTGTCCTGGTGCCTGTGATTCAAGACATCCAAAGAGGGTGTCCTAGAGGGAAATGCCAGGGCAGATATAAGCTGTCCGCCATGTCACAAAGGGATTCCTTCCCTAACTCCTGTGAGTCCATGTAAATGACAGCACACAACCTACCACAATGGATTTGGGAACAGGTATAATGCCAGTTTGGTGGGGACATGGTTCGTGGAGTAGAGCTGAGACTTGGGTTCAAATCCCCACTTCCATGCTGCTATTACTATGGCTACAACTGTTGTGATTATTACTACTATTTTACAAATAACATAGTTCTACTAGAATTACACTACTAAAATGCCACTACTACTGCTACTATTACTGCTGTGCTGTCACTGTCATTACTACTACTAATGTTGTTATTAATACTACCACAGCTACACTGCCACTGTTACTGTTACTATTGTTACTATTACTACTACTGCTGTTATAGTCCTGCTATTACCATCACTACTGCTGCTATTACTACTATTACTTCTGCTACTAATCACTAGTACTCTTAAGTACTTACTAAGCCAGGCAGAGCCCCAATCACTTTAACCTGAATTTGGTCATTTAATCCTAGATAATAATTCTATCAGTTGGGGAGTATTGTCCATTTCACAGTGAAAGAACTGGAGCACAAAGAAGCTAAATAACTTGCCTAAGCTCACAGAGTAAATGAGGAGCAGAGAATTGGGACACTGGGTCATAGGTAACACGACTTAACATTTTAACAGCAGCAAATATTGCTAATCGGTAAATGCCCCAAATGACCCTGCTGTTACCCAGTCCTTGCTTGCCATGTCCTTGCTAATGCTTAATGCTTATAGGTTTTAAATTTTATCACCAATCTGATGGGTAAAAGTTGGTGTTTTGTTTAATTTGCACTTCCCTTTACATAGGGAGGGAGCACATCTTTATTGGCCACTTTCAGTTTCTCTGTTATTTCCCACGAGACATTTAGTTCTTTAAAGCAAGAATAGTTTTCTGTTTATCTTAAGCATAGTGTTCATATATTATTGGTTTTGGGTGAATGTTTGTTGAAAATTAAACATAAAGCTATATAGTTGCTTTACCTTTGGCATCCAGGACTGACCTGAATGAAAAATAATTCTCAAATTTTATTCTGCAGCAGAGTCACCTGGAGAGCGTGTTTAAAATTCAGACTTCGAGGTCCCACCTGAAGGTGTTCTGAGTCAATAGGTCTGGGAAGGGTCCCAGGAATCTGTAGGGTAATGAGCATCCCAGCAGTGTGGTGGACCCAAACTTGAGAAAAGCTCAAACGAAGCTTTGCATATCAGCGTAACACAGGATCTTGATAACTCCCCGGAACGAGAGCCCATCACAGATTACACGGCCGTGGAAAGATGAGGGGACCAGTCACCCAGCTGGCACATGGTGGAATTAAGACCTCTCCTGAGTCCCAAGTCCAGGCCCTTTCCTGGACTCTGCCCAAGGTATCAGCCAGGCCTCCCATGAGCTCACCTTTTGGTCTTGCTCACCTGTGGATCTGGCTCACCTGTCAGATTCGTCCAGGGGCAGACCTTCCATCTCAAACCTGCAGGCACAGCCATAGTCTTCAAAGTCCCGGGGGCAGAGACCGGCCACACACTTCATACCGTTCACGAACTGGAGCAGCACAGGATAGTTGGTGAAGACGGCCTGCAGCCAGGTGAAGTGGGAGCCCAGGCAGTCTGCGGGGTGGGGTAAGGCCCGGGGGCACTGGGAACCAGAGTCTAGGAGGGAGCCCCAGGCTGATGGCACCTCATCAGCCTAGTAAGCACGTGCTGTGTACTCAGGACTGTTCTACACAATGGAAGGGAAACAGGCTCTAAGCCATTGTTTCTGTTGGTTGCCCACCTAACAGCCATTTATCCCTTCTTCCTTACTAACAAACTAAACAGTTCTCAAGGAAGGTGAACTTTTGCCCTCAGTCTTTGAGGATATTTCATGATCATTCTCAGCTGGCCACAGTAGTCCCACACTTCCAAGACAGTGATGGGTCTACAGCTAAGCATGTAACCCAGATCTGGCTGAAAAACCTTAAGATGAAGTCTTTTAGAGGCTTCTGGGAAACATTTCTTTTCTAATAAAGAATAAGGGCATGTAAAAAGATCTCTTTGATCTATACCTTTCTCCTTCCTTGAATGTGGATAGGGATAAGCTGGCTGCTGGAGCTGCAGCAACTACATTGCAATCGTGAGGCCCCAAACCTAAAGTTGAAAAACTTTTGCATACCAGACATACCACAGAATCTTGATAACTCCCAGGAATGAGACCCAATCTCATTCAGGGTGGCAGTGGAGCAAGGCAGAAAGAGACTCCTGGGTTTCTGATGCCCACATTGAGCTACTGCGTCATTCCTGATGATTTCAGACCACTTGAGATAATTAAATGTCTTTATTATCTGAGTCACTATTACTTTGCTGAATGGGTCCCAAATGATACAATGCTGCCACAATAGAACTAAAAGCCAGTGTAGGAAGGAAAGAGGTACAGACATTTACAACTTTTGAGCACCTACTAAGTGCCAGAAGTTGCACTAGGTGCTTTCAATAACACGATAGTTAAGATGGACAGAGTGTGTAGTAAGTTGGAAAGCACTCACTTTGTTATCCCACAGACCTTGTGTCAACACTGCAACATAGATGCTATTCTGTCACTGCCATTTCACGGTAGACAAACTTACTTTACATTTCACATAAAGAAACTGACCGTCTGAGACATGCCAAGGTATCAATCAGGGATAATGATTTTCCCTAAAGTCTACAGCAAACAAAATTGGCAAGAAAACTTCCTTTTCCATGTTTTCTTCCCGCAAGTCCTAATCCGACAAATGAAAACATGATTCTATGCTGACCGAAAAAGCCACTCTAAGGGGTGTGTGTGTGTGTGTGTGTGTGTTTATGTAAATATGCATTTTTATTGGAAAGCTTATAGGGCACCTTCACCCTTAGGCTCAGTTTCCTTACCTGTAAAATGGGGTACCTGTACCATTCCCTTCCCGGCTAGTCTGTCATCATAACTAATGCAGTAAGGAATATAAAGCACGAGGCAACTCAGTGACTCACCCTGCAGTGAAAGGTGTCTGTGCTCTCACCAGAACCTGGGTCAAAGCTGGGAGCTGGCTGGGGAGGCCGTTGGAGCTCCAAAGGCAGACACCAAGGCCCTGGTAATTTCCTTAGATTTCCCACACATACT